TTATTAAATAAAAATAGCATATCAGATGTATTTTTTAAATTAAATAAATATGTTTCTTATCTCTGGATACATTTACCAAATTAAATTCCTATTTGATTAAAATCTATAGCATCATTTAGAATCTGTTTCTGATTGGGTTCAATCCAAACATGGGGTTTTAAGCATTGGAAATCAATAACTACTTTCCACCTCTGAAATAGTCCCGATAAGTTATACAATCGACCAACCCAGTCTCACGGCATTTCGTGTTACAGTCACGAAATTAATTTAATCTATTGATTCGTGTTCACCAACACGATTTTCGCATTTTTTTCGTGTCACACAGAACGATTTTAAAAGCAATGCATTTCTATTGGTAGTATGTTTCGTGCCTGCACCAGGTCTTTTTGTCCGGTCGGGTCTTGGAAGACCAGAAGCTGTGTGGTTCATAAAAACATTTTCTTACTCAATATCTTACCCTAAGCCTAACCCTTTTATTTTAAATTGTATAATGTCGGAGTGTTTTTGCCGTCCGCGAGGAAAAGAAATGGGGCTCAGAGCCTCAGAATACTGAAATCTGTCATTTTTGTCATATTATTTCCTTCTAATTTGTTATTATTTACATTGCTTTTAAAATCGTTCTGTGTGACACGAAAAAAATGGCGAAGTCGTGTTGGTAAACACAAATCAATATATACATTTTGTAACTATAACACGAAATGCCGTGAGACTGTGTTGAATCGACAGGGTGTTCAGTAGATTATTCAAACTGGGACAAGAGATTATACTGTCGAATGATTTTTTTATGTAATTTGTTAATGTGTTCACAAACGATATAACATTCAATTCCCTGTTATTGGGATAAAGGCAGAAACTGTGTGAGTACTTTGGGTGAACCAATCCTTTAACATTGTAAATCCGAACTAAAGACTGTGCAAATGATAGAAGATCCTCGCAACCCAAGTCGTTTCCTGTGCCTCTCCACTCTCTCCTCACATCTGCACGATACCCATTGATCAGAGCGGGTTGACGAGCTACGACAGCAGGGAGTTTAAACTCAAGGGATCCTTCCTCTAACCCACTTACTAGCTTACTAGAGCCAGGAAATCCTTTTTCTCCCCATCACTCTATTCCTTAATGAATCCTCCTATCATCCGGAGCCCTAATGGAGTCTGTTTTGCTTGCTGATCAATGGGGAAAAGGAGCAACTGCTTCTTCTCTCTGTTACGGAGGGAGGTGCTGGGTTGCTGAGTCCCTCAACAGCCTCGATGGAAGCATGTGTGTGAACTCCTCTGTCAATCTGTCTGTCCTTTGATCTGAGTGGAGCGCAGTGAGAGGGGGGCAAAGATCCCTGAGTGGTGGAGGAAAATCACGGAAACACATTTATCACCACTTGCACACTTCACATATTTCCAAACACCATGCATGCAGAAAGAAAATGCAGAATTAACAGAAAGGGAGCTATTAGAAATTAGAAACTGAACCGTGGTTAACACTTTCATTTAACTTATCCGTCCCCATATTTCACCATCTTGCTGCGAGTCAAAACATCCCTTTACAAATTGGTTTGTGCAGTCACTTAGAAACATGCCCTAATAATAATTAACAAAACGCCTTGGGCTTTAAAATGATTTCCAAATGCAATCATTTTAGGGTAAAATTGATTATATCTAAAATTCAAATAAGGGAATAGCTTAACTTTAAACTAAAAGTCACTCCTACTTTAACATATTTGTATACATTCCCCCAGGGGAAAAAAAGAAAACTAATCAAACCCTCATTTCATCATGACATACCCAAAATTAAGGGTTGTGGCAAATGTTTAATATCTGGCGCATTTCTTACATAGTTTTGCGCCGGACGGTCAAATGTAGGAGAACTAAATCCAGGTTCAGAGAACAGGTGACAAAGGGTTTCATCTCAAAGAACACGTTTCAAATTTCCCAAAAGTGAGACAAGAAGACCCCAGACGACCTGATGGTTAAAGCTCAACAAACGCTCACACACTGAGAGAGACGGAGCGGGATCCATAGTCAGGCCCCTGATGGGTTCAAAAAGAGCGTACAGTTCAAATGCCTCACAGCTAAAGGTCACAAGCACCACACAGAGAGTCAAAAGTGAAGGAAATGTTCCTGCTTCCCCCTCCTGCCTCTCGCTCTGTCTCACACACACACACACACACACACACACACACACACACACACACACACACACACACACACACACACACACACACACACACACACACACACACACACACACAAATTCAAACATCAAAGGCCCTTAATCTTTCGCCTCTCATGTCTATCTTCCTCAATTCAATCCTGGTCTCATGCTCCGAGCGGCAGCAGTCTGACAGCAGGAAGTGGAACATTGTGCTGCAGGCACTACTTTTAAAGTTTATTTTCTTTCACTTACCCCTGTGCTCTGCAGCTGTGTGTTGACAGATGTAATAAAGCAGTCAAAATGCATATAGAGTTTTCGACTTTGTAAGTGAAACTGAAGTCAATTTGCACATTAATATTGGCAGTAGTTTAAATATCAAACATCTTAACAAGCATTATGATTTTTAAGTCTGTGGTATTATGAGTATATTTATGTTTAGGGTTTGGTGAAAACAGAAAACGAGTCATACTTAATTTAATATTCAATGCTTTCGTGATCTTCGGCCAAGGGGGTACAGCAGAATCTCATTGATTCATGATATTGATATTTGCCAGCCAATCCATCTATAATACTATTCTATTTTGATTAAGTCGTATTAATCCCCAACAACAAACCGAACCAGAAATGATCCAAACTAAATATGTAGCTGAAAGTGTGAGTTGGTGGCATATGAGTAATCGAGTGGAAACGTTTTCCAGCTCATTACTTTTCTGTCTCACACTTCTTCTCGACATTTCCCTGCACAGATTCACTTAAGATGCTGCAGGGATGTGAGCTTTGAGCAATTGATCGCTACAGTGTCAACACTTTGAATGCTTATCTAAATGTAGTTGGAGATAAGGGTTTGAAATGTACGAGGAGCTTTAAAATTCAAGTTGGTGAAAAGTATGTATAGTAGGGAACAGAAGAAGAAAAAATAAATAAGTAAGAACACTAGAGATGGTTGCATTTTCTATTGTTGCACGCTAAACCTGCAATGGATAATAATTCTCTATCTTAATAAATAGTCTGATCAAAGCATGTTCATCACAATTTCCCAAAGCTCCAGTTTTAATATGGCTTGTATTACTTGCCAACCCTCCCGATTTTCACGGGAGACTCCCGATTTCATAGTCCTCTCCCGGTTTCCTCCCGGGGTCATATTTCTCCCGCATTTCTCCCGATTTCTGACAAAATCAGATTTACTCAGGACTGTTTCCACTCTGACTTTTACAGCTACACCATTGTTTGGTTTCCATGGTAACGCGTCTCTTTAGTAGCGCGGGCAACTGAAAGTCCCGCGGTGGTTTTGAAATGCTCCCGATTTCTGAGGTCTCAAGGTTGGCAAGTATTTGCTTGTATAAGCAATACATTAGGAACAGGTTAATGTCTGGTATTTATGTCTAAAGAATGACTTAAACAATGAAAGTCTTATCATTGTTTCAAATTCTGCAAATCGATAAATCGAGTAATCATTTTAGACTCATTGTATACTAGCCAACACGTTCGATCAATACCCACAATGCAATTAGAGCACTGCTCATTGATTGGTGCCTTTCACTACAATTGTTCTTACAATGCAGAATCCATTATAAAAAATAATTATAATATGAATAGGCCTAGCTGTATGAATGATGTCAAGCTTTTCAAAAATGAAAATCTACACAATTATTCCACTTTTTTCAATTCAATCTGCTGTGGAAACCCGGGGGAGTGTTCTCTTCCCCTGTTCCACACTCCACGGTAGCTGATCATTTGCCTCCCCCGCATTACCGCACAGTTTGTGTTCATTTCAAACCACTGTGAGAGAGAAAAAAGATGAAAAAAGTACAAAAGTACAAAAGGGGGGACTGAGAGAGAGGAGTGATGACATAACAGGGGGGCTGACGTGCGTGAGAATGGAGGTGCTTACGTCAACTGTAACTGGGAGAAGAAGAGCAACCATTCCCTATGTAGGTCACATTAAAAACCCATGCAGCTACCACAAATTCATCCAACTAACCAACCAGCCTGCCGAGCAGCATTGAAATCACAACTGTAAGTACACTACTAGCTGTTAAAAATCAACTCAACTATCCATACGATACTGTTATATATCTAATAATCCAGACTAAATCTGAAGCACAGGCCCAGCTGAAAGGCCTGTTAAATTACTGATGAGTCTGGGGAGATGATATCATGTGCTCTGTTATTTTTACTTACATTAAAGACAAAAAAAAGGTTTTAAGCCGAGACGTCAATGGGGGATGCCTCGTGACTCGTCTTCAATCGATTTGGTCGTAAATTCATATTGTATTTTCGTTTTTTTGCAGAGTCCCATTCATCCTGACTTCTTGACTGTGAAATCACACCAACTTCCCACCATGTCATCACCTTTTACTCATGAATCCTAAGACATATTATACATCAAATAAAGCCATTAGTAAAACGACAATATACTGGTCTTAATGATGATGACTTTAATTAACTAATATTAGCGCCCCATTAGGGTTAATCATGATTACACAGGCAAAAACAATAATGATTGCATGGAAGCTTTGTCTAATCAATGTACCCAGCTGTTTGTAATTAAATATACAGGCAATGTGATTTCTAGAAACATCCCTTATATTGTGTCCTGATGAGTTACAGAAATGCGCTCTGCAAACCTGCCGCTCTACAGTTGTTATTGACCTGGAGCTTAATTGTAAGCGGGGTGGAGCACAGGAAGGAGAAGCTAACTGAAACATAATGAACGCGGGAGGGGGCTGTCTATGCAAATTCATGAGGGGAATACATAGAAAAGGGCAATGAAGGCAGTATGCTGATGCTAACTCATGGTGTTCTGATACCAGCACATGATGTAACCACTACAGATCTGTACAGAGAGCACTCACGGTGAGCCGTCCTGCCGGAGTCACTCTGTGAGCTCTCAGCAGAGTGGGCGGAGGAGGCGGACGACACGCTGGAGCTCCGGACGAAGCCGAACGCTGCCAGGCGGCCGGCGGGGAGACGGCTGGAGCTGAAGCCGGGGGGGCGAAGGCCGGACTGGCTCACTTTGGGCATCAGAGATCTGGAGGCCGCGGCTTGTGGCTGGGCTGCTGCTGACACTGGAGCAGGAGGAGGGGCAAGATGGGTGAAAACCTCATCTTCTAGAAAAGAAGAAAAACAAGCTTTCAGTATCCAGTAATAAGAATCTTTATTTGTATAGCACCTTTTTTTTTTTCAAGGATCCAAGGCTTTTATTGTCATTCGTACATAGCTACAGTCCCAGGCTCCACCAACAGTGCAACACAATACAACAGATAAAATAGCGGAAGTAAATACAATAAAATTGAATAAAAGTAGAACCTTTCATACGATGGTGAAGTTCAAGGTGCTTTAGACATTTCACAGAAAATTGATATCACAGTAATACAGTAACCAGGAATAACATAACTAACTAAAAATAGCATTGAGTAGACATATACATTTAGATTAAAGGTACAACGATGAAAATTGTGCATTAAAAGGAGGATAATGCAACAATATTTGAAAACATTTTAGAAAAGAAAGTTGTTCAGGAGTTGGGTTTGTTACATGGTGTGTCCTTAGCTGAACTGATATCAAAGAAGCTTCCAGAAAGCTCTCTGTGTTTCAACTTCTCTGGTAATCAGCTGCTCATGTTGTTGTTGCTGCAGCATGTGTTGCTGAACGGACAGCTCCATGAGAAAGGCTAAATGATGTGCTTGTGTTTGTGTTTGTGTTGAGAGACTGCTGTAGACTCATTAACTCAATAACACTCATATACCAACAAAATACAGGCGATTCAAAAATAGCTATGCTGTTTCTATCCCTAGTGATTAATTCATCATCCTGTGTTGACTAAGCTCTCAGTGGGTGTCAGGAAGTTTTCAGTGTTATGACTCCGACTGCTAGAGCAAGCAAATATAATAACAGTAGGCTATACACAACAACCTGCTAACAGCTGCTTTTGGCTTCGGCTGTGCTCGCAGACTGGGCTGGAAGCCAGCACTTTCTTTAATGCAAACATTGTTATGACGTTTAATCTGACAACAACAATTTAGGACACAGATGATTTATTGTTCCATTGCATACATTGTGTTTACCCGTGTTTAAACGCCATCAGTAATTCCTCATGAGTAGGCTATATAGGTATTACAGTGATTCTAACGGCATGAAACCATAGCTTTACCATTCAGGTTTCTGGACTTTAAACCAACAAAATGAAGGTTGATTAAAAGAGTCAGAGAGTCAAAGTCAAAGTCAGAGAAAGAAAAGACAGTGAATCTCAGAGAGAAAGGATGAAGGATGAAAAAGTAATCATAGCTCCATAATGGGAGCTATTGTCCGGTAGCAATGGGGAGAAATCCTCCCTCTTGGTAATCTATGGTTTCCAACTGAAAAACAGATGAAATGTTCAGGCATGAACAACCACGGCTGCACACATTTACACTGAGGGCAGTGAGCAAATCCTCAGGCCTTGGACAGAAGCCCCATCTTTTGCCACCCCAGCCTGCGGATAAGGTTTAGATTTGGGGTGGGAAGGGAACCATTATCCCCTGCTGGCGGCAGAGATAAGGTAGGCCGCCCTCCTTTCCTCAACTATTTGGCACAGCTGTGTGCTCCAGTTCGGCTACAGGGTGCCCACCACATCAATACCAAAAGGAAGCAACTCTGAGAGAGAGAAAACAAGCTGTGTTGGTGGAGAAAGACAAAGTGGGACAATAGGAGGGAGAAAAGCCTCCAGTGTAACTTATTACCTCACTCCTCCTTCCTCAATATCTGCCTGTGTGCCACGTGGAATGTTTATTAGATTGGAGCTCGCTCCTCTTGAGAAAGATAAATGTCCTAATTTCCCTCTCGCCTCCTACCACTCCCTCTGCGAGACGAGGGAGGGAAGAGAGTGCGACAAACATCTTAAGCCAAGAAATCGCAGACCTAAGATCCTTCTAAATGAAGATACACATTATGTGTCACATAAAGACAATACATTGACATTTGATGGAAATATTGATATGACTTTTACATTTTGGCGGTCTCTCCCTTAACCATGGTTTTTATTCAAATAAACTCACTCAGCCAAAGCGGCTTTTAAAAAAAAGTCTGACATTTATGAAAATGTGAATTTCCATGATAAATCGTAAAACCCTGGGTGTTGAAACTCACACCTGGGCTTGCAGTTTTCTCCCTTCATCCATTCCAGATTTTAAAATAAAACCACTTCATTTCCCCCCTATGTTTGAACAACTCCTTACAGCCCCTGAGAAATTAAAACATCTTCATACAAACACCTTAAAGCCCCTGTCACACTGTTCCGAAATGTACACCCGATGGACACGCGAATATTGAATTGTGAATTTCGCACGAAGATGGCCCCGAACCACACACGAAGGCAACGTTTACATTACATTTAAGACATACAACTGCAACGAAAGTAACACAAACAATTATGTTAAAGTATTATGATACTGTACTGATATTTTCCGACTTTGTTCTTTACTTTATCCGTCTTTATATGTAGAAGATATTAAGTTTTCTCCGTCATGTTGTTTCCATAGCAACAACAACTTCCTGTCAACTTGCCTTCAAAATAATATATTATATCCTTTTCAGTTTCACAGAACACAAATTGGGTTATTTACATAATATGTTTACATGATTTTGTTGTGCAATTAACAACCAGATGGACACACGATAAAGGAAATGTTCAAATTCGGCTCTGATCGTAGCAACATCGGGCCATTCGTGAGGGCATCTTAAGCCATCGTATGACCGCCGGTGGAGTTTCTCAGGCTCCGGCAGCAACTTCGTGAGCGGTGGCAAAATCTTTGGCATGCCAAAAAATTGCCGAAGGTTCATTTTCGTGTTGAATTCGTGTGTCAATTTTGCCCTTCGTAAGGCCATCGTTAGGACATCTTGTTATCATCGGTGCCATCGGGCATTCGCCCCGATCAGAGTGAGGGTGAATGCCCGATGGCATTTGTCAGGTATTATGTTTAGCGGCTATCCTTAAAATGGTAGACATAAGGACTTATAACGTCTTTTGTCTGCAATTACCTATGAATAACGTTTG